CAGTCACAGCCTTCAAGGGGCTCACAATCCGGGTTTTACTCATGCAAGAACAGAGGAAAGTACGAGGTGCATCTGTGGGCAAAACTGAGGGAAACAGGGCTGATTAAACTCGGTGTCAGGAAGGCTCCACAGTGATGGTGTTTTAAGTTTTTAAAGATTTTATTTATTAATCTGACAGAGAGAGACACAGAGAGAGAGAGAGAGAGGGAACACAAGCAGGGGTAGTGGGAGAAGGAGAAGCAGGCTTCCCGCTGAGCAGGGAGCCCGACATGGGGCTCGATCCCAGGACCCTAAGATCATGACCTGAGCTGAAGGCAGATGCTTATCGACTGAGCCACCCAGCTGCCCCTTAAGTCTTTTAAAACACAAAATGCATACTGAGAGAAGAATTATATCACCAGAAAGGAGACACTAAATACTTCCCAGATGCAAAACAACCTGGGACCTTGAGAAAAGCCTAAGGATTCCAGTAAGGACCAGGAGTTTGAGAAACATTATGGGTCTTGTCAACAATTTACTGGGTACTTTATGCTCTTCCCCTCAAGTGTTCTTTAACTTCCGGGTGACTTCTAAATAGCAGATGAAAATATTATTATAAAGTCCATTTAAATAAACCTACTATATGAAAAAGTTCTCTCTTCCCAGTTTGTTGAAATGAGAGAGTCATAATATTTATTTCATCAAGAGGGTGTGAAGCTTAGTTGGGATTAATTTCCTTCATTACTCCTTCCAGAGTACTGCAAAATTTATATAATCCCATATGTGGTTCATAGGAACGGACTTCACGATGACTTGATGAGAAATAATATGAATATTTCATCAAGTTTTTCCATCATTCTTTCACATATAACCGCCCTCACTCCACCTTTTCCAGCCCCTCATGATGGCGCACCAGGTCACTGCCAGCGCCTCCTGAAGGAAGGCTTCAGCCAATCCATTACATGTGCTGCTGCCTCATCAAACACCCCAGAACCTTCCTTTGCAGTGGGGCCTGCCCTCCCCTCCACTCTCACTAGACCCACCACGCATGTGCCGCGGGTATGGTCCACACATTCCCCTCTTTCCCCAGGTCGATTGTGAACGTACGTCTTCAGGGCATCGACTTACTCATATTTTTAATCCCTGGCATCTTACATGGTGACTAGCAGAGAAGAGCTGAGCAAATAAAGCCTTGTCAAGTGACTGAGGGCGCAAACCCTCTGCTCTGGTGACAAGGCCAGAACCAAGCTGTCTTCGGAACATGGGACCTGCCCTCCCATTTGTCTTCTTTTCCCGTTCCTCCTCACCCTGCATTTTCCCTTTCCTCTCTCAGTAATATACATTTATCTATGTAGGGCAGTGGTTTTCCGCCTTGGCTCCCAGCGGGGAGCTTTACAATAAACACAGGTGCCCGGCCCACCAACACACGTTTTGATTTAATGGGGCGGGCAGGGGGGCTCTGGTGTTGGTATTTTGCAAATGCCCCTGTGATGAGTCTAAAAAGCAGCCAGGCTTGAGAGACACTGATCGAAAGTGATAACTCGGGCTGCCTGGGTGGCTCAGTGGGTTAAGCCTCTTCCTTCAGCTCAGGTCATGATACCAGGGTCCTGGGATCAAGTCCCACATCAGGCTCTCTGCTAGGCGGGGAGCCTGCTTCCTCCTCTCTCTCTTTACTTGTGATCTCTCTCTCTGTCAAATAAATAAAATCTTTAAAAAAAAAAATAAAGTGATAATTCAAGCCTTGTCTTTTAAAAAGGCTAATGGGCCTCTGGTGAGTTTACCTTGCTCTGGTTTCAAAGCAGGTACCATCTCAACCAGTTATTAGGTAACAAATCCAACACCACGCTTGACTAGTAGTTTGTTCTTTGACTTGTGCACTTCATTTTGATTATTTATGAGTGTAAACACACATGTACCATCTCTCACACTCGACCAGAAGAACCTCGAAGGCAGGAACTCTGTCTTCTACTACTTTGCATCCCCAAGCCACGTACAGGATGGACCAAAAACACATTTTTGATTACCAAAAAAAAAAAAAAAAAAAAAATCCAAAATACTGAAAGAGGAGGAAAAAATAACCCTGGTAGAGACCATTTTAATTCCACTTTAAGGACACATCTTTGGTAAGAATAAAAATGTTACACAAAGGGTGGGGCAGGTTTGAAGCAGACTAGAGAAAGAGTAAATAAAAGTCAAATGGAAAAAAAACTAAATTAGTCCAAAAGAGAATGTTTCCCAGCTTCTTAAGAGGGTTTTTTGCAAATACTGAAGCAGAATAAACAAGAGCATTAACTTGGCTTATGCCCTGATAAGGAGATTTCTTTCCTGATTATATAATTTTACAAAGTTTCCAGGGTGTAAAGAAAATAATCAGCCAGCGAGGACTCCTTCCCTTGGACTATACAATTCAGCTCTTGGTTTAATCGGCTCGCAGAGCTGCTCAGCTTGACCTGACCTCCTTCCAGCCCTGTGATCTCAGACTAAGCCTCACATTCAACAGCCCTGGCGTAGAGCTCAGTGTCATAGAAACGGGATAAAACATAATCCTCATTCCATGCCCTTGATCCCTTGGTGTAGTGGCCTCTGTGCACGGGTGGGGGTGGGGAGAGCTATACCTGATATCTTTTCCTGGCAGTTGGTGTTCCAGAGATCTGGCGATACTAGAATGTAGGCATGTTTTCCTACTAAGTAGTACTATGAGGAAGTATTGCTTGGAACAGCTACCTTAAAGACTAGCTTAAGGTACTTTTTTGTGCACATATCCCAGAAAAGGTTTATCTTCATATGGCTTCTCTACTTTGTCAAGAAGTAAGACCACAGGAAAAGCTCAGTGAATCACGATGCATGTCCTCTGCCAAAGCGAGATAAGTTCATCAGATAGAGACATGTTTTCTACATCAAATTTCATCCTAGTTATTAGGCCACAAATTGAAACACTGGTCCCAAAAGGCACACACACTTCTATAGATTAATTAAGTGCAAGTTCTTCTGCTTGGGTTGGCCATTTTAACACTGGTCATATTTTACTTTGCTACAGCATTTTATTATACTTTACTATTTTATTTACATATTTCACTAATTAGTGTTTGAAAACATGATTCAAAAGCATTTAACTCTGCTCTTGATTGATTAGCAATGATAGTAACATGTTGTCCTTTGTAGGTTAAGATAACATCACTGACTCATTTGATAGGATATGAGTTGATAAACTGTCACTGATCTATCCATGCTGTGCTCCTCATTCCTCTTGTGACTAGTGGCCTGTGTTTGACCCTGTGAGCCAAGAACCAAGAGCCACCAGAATCCTGCAGTTACCAAAGAGACATAAAATAATAGCGTTTGTCCTACCAGCTATTTCCTATGAATGTCTAAAAAATGGAAATGACCGGCTAATTTATTAAAACAAAAGGAAAAGACAAATATGGCACTAACTTCTTTATATACTAACAAATGCTAGCTGGAATTGGTAAAACAAGGATCTGGGAGTCTGGAGTCCATGCTATTATATATAACAGACTATATCACAAAATCAGTGTGCACCATCTGAAACCTAAAACAGAGATAAACTACCCATTTTCAAGGAATGGGATTGAAGATCCATGAAAATGAATGGATCCACACTGATTCACAAGGAATTTTGCTTCCACAAATAAGAGTTTAGGTAGTAGTGACTGACAGCTGCAAACTGGGTTTATTTTAACATAATTTATAACCTCGGGTATAAAACAAAGGTCATTGGGTTCTACAGGAACACCTCTGGCTCTGAAAAGAGAAGTAATGGATTCAGAACCCAGGATACTTGAATCATCGGGGAAAAGGTATCACTGAGGTAATGAGCACGCCAGGGCCTGAAAACTTAAGAATGTTCCCCTAAACGAAAACAAGCAGCTCCATCTTCTCAGAACATGGCTGACTCAATCATCAAGCTGGAATGTTATTTACACAGTCCCAAGCAAACCAAGAAGAATCCTCTGGTCTGTAACCAAGGGTACTCGGAAAGTTATGTCTGGAACAGGCAAAGGCTCATGTCTGTTTCTGATGATTCCTGACTCCTTGGAAGACAGCCAATTTACCTAATGCAGGTGAAGGGCAACAGCTCCCCGCCACCTCCCCCAGAAAGGACCACCAGCATGATATTTCATGCCTCTTTAGTGAATAACCTGGACTGTAACACATTTAGCAAGATGGGCAAATCTGGATTCTGAATTTTGCCCCATCCAACAAATCACAACAATCACCCTATCTTCTTCCTCCTCCTGCTTGTGGGAGAGGTTATGATGGAACCTGGTCCACACAACAGAATAAAGTTGAGGTTAGGCATTGGGAAAAATGAATTCCCTAATTATGAAACATTTTACCAAAGGTGTCAGACTGTGGTGTTCCTTTCTTTGAATGAAAAAAAGGGTTGTAGAAAGTTAAACTTTCTGGATGGAACGTGGAGGGGTGGGGAGACAGTTCTCATTTGAGGCCAGGATAGAAACCATCAACAGGGAGCTCTGAAAGAGCTGTCATCCTTTTGGGGGTCTCTCCAGCAAATTCTGGTACTTGAACCTATTGGCTTATGAGTTAGTGCACAAGTACCCATGGTCTGGGGAATAGTTTATCACATAGCAGGATCTGTCTGGCCTATGGTTTTCAAAGCATATTAACCTCAAGAAAAAGCATTGTCACTATTTAATTTGTCCACGAATTATCTAGTCCTCAACAAATACCAGCTATTTGGAGAGTTTGAGATCCCTAGAGGGTGGACCTTGGTCATTTCCAAGCCATTGGCAAATATCAAGAGGCAAGCTAACTCTATGGGCTTTATTCTTACACATTTTTTCCTGTGAGCGACTGATTTCCCACTTCATTATAACTGCTATTGGGGCGGGCAGGGGTGCTCATTTCTTTACCTGCCCCGATGGTGTTGGCCCAGGACAGAAAATGTGGCCAATGCTTTCAGGAGATGAACACTCAGACTGCTAAGTACATCTTGTTCTCTAAACTCAACAGTCAGAAAACATTGTCAAAGAACTCACCTGCCTTCTCTCTGAACCAAGGGACTGGAGAATCAGCCGGGTGTTCACACTGTGACTCCAGGTGTTTCCTAGGGCAGCTGTCACACAGCTGGATCCAGAAGTGCCTGAAATGAAACAGGGCAAAACCATGACTATGAATGCCCATTTCTTGTAATGGTGTTTCCCATAAACAAAAGTCCAGTCACTGCTCATTGCTTAGAGACTCCTGGGGACTCAGTTCATTACCACAAAAGTTGACAAAGTAGAGAAGAAGGACAGGGTTAAGAACATGAGACTAAAAATAAAAACCAGCATGAGTTTCCTTTAGCCTCAGTGAAAGGGACCACCACTAGGCTAAAAGATAACAGAGTTATATATCAATAAGAGCTTGCATGCAAGGCAGCTTAGAGCTATTGCTAATAAAAAATTGAGCCACTCGACATCCATGGCAGAAAGGCATAATGCTACTCCATAGAATGAGAGCCAGTTATGAAACAGTCTTAGTTTAATAGAGTTGTAAGGCTTGTTTAGATTGATAAGAGTCTTAACTCAATTTTCCTAATCAATATAGAAATGGTAGCGTATGTATATAAAATTCCTTTACCCTTCCAATCCTTGCATACACACACCCAGAAGAGGAATACGAAAGATCTAACCATTTCATATCTAATCTGTATTAGACAGCCTTATCCCCAGAGAAACATTCTTTCACTTTCTAAGACTTTCCTGTAAGGGGAGGGATCTGAAGGATCCATCCGAATTTCCAGTCTACTCCAAGTTGTGCTTCACCTACTACCTTCCATCTCCACAGCCTCGCTGATCCCTCTTGACATCACCAAGAGGAAACTCTTCCTTCTCTCCTCCTCTTCTTTCTCCTTAGAGGCAGGTTTACTAGTCCCACCACTTAGAAGCCTGCCCACCCCCCCTCCCCTCATATCTGGCCCATTCTGAGGACTCCTCTGAATTCCTGAGCCTACGTTGGCCCTGAGTGGAATCCTAGCCCTATAGGGAGCACAGTAAGATATTCATTGTGCTTTGTAATCTCAAGATGCTGTCTCTCTGCTATGAGGAGACTAAATACAGAGAGGCTGAAGCCCACCAGATTAGTAGATAAAACAACATGAGGCCTTGAGCTTCTCATTCATTGACTGCTTACTGCATCCTCTGATTTCCCCCCCTCAGTCCAGAGTATTGGTCTTCTTTTCTTTTCTTTCTTTTCTACCCTGTCATCTTTCGGGGTGGTCTACCAACTCTGCATGGCCTTTGCATGGCCGTACACTCCTGGGCCCAAATATTACAGCAGATGAATGTGGGTCAGCGGTTCTAGGCTGGAGGTGATTTGTTGGCAATGTCTAAGTGGGAGGGCTACTGGCATTTAGAGGGTGGGGGACGGTGATGCTGCTGAACATCCACGCACAGGACAGGCTCTCAACAAGGAATTATCCAGCCCCACACACGAGAGTGCTGAGGTTGAATGCCCCTGGGTTAGACAACACCAACCATACATTTTCTCCGGCTTAAGCAGGGACAGGAATGAATTAGATGGGAATCAACAACTGGGACCACAACAAGCCTGGGGAGTTCCAGATGAAGAAGAATTTAGCATTGGAAAGAATAAAATTTAGGGTGACTGTAGTGTATCATGCACATCACTCAAAACACACACAAATTCATCTGAAAACAAATTATCTAGACCATGCTCATAGGATCACACCACTCCCTTGCTCAAACTCCTACAGCAGCCCTCCGTGCTGAGGACAAATACTAACTCCCGAACAATGCATCTGGGGTACTTTGTCATCTGCTCCCAAGTCTCTCTCCGGCCCCACTGCTCTAAGCTTTCTCACTGGATGGTCTCCTGTAACCTCCTGACTTCTCTGTCCCCATCCTCCTTGACCTCTTGGCAACAGCTGATAAAGCTTCCCCCCCCTTCTGGCATCTAAGATCTGCTTCTTCTGCTTCTTCTGGATCTTGATGAGTGTTCTTTCCCTTCTCTGCTTTTCTTCTCCTTCTCTTCCTAGTTATGGGTGGACTGCAGGGGGCTGACAGTGACTGATTTTTCTCCTATCACCCACGTGCCTAGGAAGGTAATGTGCATTTAGTAAAGAGGCCAGGTGTTTGCATCTTAAAATGCAGGAATCCTTTATTGCTGCAAAGAGATATACTTTCTTCCATTCTTCTTAAAATACACATCCCTCTTGTCTTCCATCTTCCCCTTTTTGAGAGAGACATAATAATAAAGAAATATTTTCTGTTATAAGAAAACCAACCCTGGAAAGGCAATAGCAACTGATTTTTCTTCTCCTTTCTTTTTTTGTTTTCGCATTTTTATATAACAGCTTTTTTAGATAATTCACACATCATACAATCCACTCAAAGTGTACAGTCCAATGGTTTTTACTATATTCAGTGTTGTTCAAGCATTACCACAATTGGCTTTAGAACACTTCATCTCCTCAAAAAGAAACTCCATGTGCCTTAGCCATATAAGCCTCAAGCCCCTCTCTCTGCCCCCCAGCCCTAGGCAACAATTACTCTACTTTGTGTTTAATATGAACTGTTAGGAGATGGACGGGGAGTAGTGGAGACTGTGGAGAATGAGCGCATCTATCCATGATCACAAGGGGCAGACCTTGGCTGCTCCGGCTAGTGCTGTCGTGTGACAAAATGAGTTCAGAGTCAACCACATCTTTTGACTTTGAAAAAAGAAAAGCCAGAAGGAAGTCAATGTTTAAGTACAATCCTCTTGACTTAATTTAACAATTTCTAAAAATGCACAAATGAACATACTTAGGAGCCGTCTATCACTCATTCCCACAAAGCTTGCAACGTCTGCTCCATATGGCATGTCCTCACTGTTGACAAGGCCAACACCATGACCTGGGTGATTTTGAAGCCTTGTCTCAACCTATAACCCGCCTTAGCACTTGTCCTCCATTTTCAACAACAAGAATTACGAGTCTGACCTAATGAATTTCAGCACCATAAACTGAATATCTTCAAATCAAGCTTATGTCTTCCCATATAACTCACTCTTCCTTCTTGGTCCCTTTCTTTGGTCTTCTAGTTAATCTGGTTCAGAACCTCAGTTCCACTTTTAAATTTCTCCTTCTCCCATGCTTCTCAGTTCCAATAAATTGTGACATTCTATTGACTGAACTATAAAATCTCACCTATATTTTTTCTCCTACCCTCTGTTCCTCCTACCCCAACCTTAGATCAGACCCTCATTAGCTTTCACCTGGGGGTGAAAGCTGCTAGAACTTCCTAACTGATGTCCATGCTGCTGTCAGTTCCTAAAGTCCATTCTCTTTTCTGCCTGATTAACCTCCCCAACCACACATTTAAGCACACTCCCCTGCCACTTCTGACCAAGCGTGCTCGAAAACTTTCAGCAACTCCCACGTGCATCCAAAGAGCTCTAAATTCCTCAGACTGGCATTCAGAGCTCTTCTAGTCTGTGCCCAACCTGCCTTTCCACATGACTCTCTCCATTCTACTTCATATAGACTTTGCTCCAACATAATCACTTCTTCCCCATGTCCCTTCCCCACCTGAAATGCCTCTAGGTCCACACATTATCTTCGATACCACCTCCTGTGTGGCACTTTCTTGGCCCTCACAGACATACTGTCTTCCTCCTCTAAATTCCCATAATGCTTTATTTCCCTCTCTCACGTTACACCATTTTCTCTCCTGTGGTATATTCCCTGTGTGTGCTTTTCTTAACACCCCTAATACATATCTTAAGAGGGTCAAATCCATGTCTGATTTATGCTAGGCCAAATCACTTAATTTATGCCTCGATCATTCTGTGTCACTGACACACAGAAGATACTTAATAAATCCTGATTAAATAGTTACTAAGTTGTTCCTACTAAACTTTGAACTATGTTACATATATTTGTTTTAGCAGCAGATTTACATTCTTAATTCTATCTTGTTTAATCTAAAATTAATACCATGTTCACTTTTTTTTTTAAAAGATTTTATTTATTCATTTGACAGAGCTCACAAGTAGGCAGAAAGGCAGGCTGAGAGAGAGAGGAAGGCAAGCGGGCTCCCCGCTGAGCAGAGAGCCCAATGCCGATGCCGGGCTCAATCCCAGGACCCTGAGATCATGACCTGAGCGGAAGGCAGAGGCTTTAACCCACTGAGCCACCCAGGTGCCCCCCATGTTCACAATTTTCAAACAAACTTGTTAGAAGCTTGTTGCTTAGGGGCCTGCTAAGTGATAGAATGAAGTAAGGCTGAGCTTTCAAGTTTGCCACAAAAAACTATATTTAGACTAATTAGGATTTAATTAGTCAAGCGCTCAGAAAATATACATTTTTTTAAAATAATAAAATTATAGGCACTTCTCAGGTCTGGAAGATGTTTTCAGGAGTCAAAACCATATGGCCAGTAGTGACTATTTAAAGAATGCCATGTCCCTAAAGCAATGAAAACAGTGTAACAATGTACCCATGTACCTGGCTGCTTTCCGGGCAGGTAAGCTCAGGGCCTGACGAAAGGCCAGCGAGTGCAAATGACCATGGGAAAGCTTCTAATGGGAACCCTGAGTGAGCAGCTTGTGGAGGAGTGCTTACAAACATGATGCCCCCACAAGAGCAGTAACAGAGGACCTTGAAAGCTAATGATAAGAAAAGACAATATTTTTAAAGTACTACAAGGAGGCCCTAGGTGAGCCTTTTATATGAGGAGGGCTTACATCTTGTTTGAGCTTCATCTGTTAGTTATATCTTTTTTTGATCCTCATGGAGGTAGGGAATATCTTCACCCCTATTGACAAACTAAAGCTGTGAGGGACTAAGGTCATTCTCCCAAGGGCGTGTGGTTGGTTAATGACAGGGTCGGGACTCAAAGCGGGCCGACTGTCTTCACCGCTACTCCAGTCAGCCTTCTCCAGGCTCCTTATGTCAAACAGCCCACAACCGTGTCAGCCCAGTTGACAGGGGGCCTCAGGAAGGGCCTGAAGAGAGAGCCTGGAGGCCCGTCTCTGAGACGACACTGATGCAGGCACAGTGCGAGCATCTCATCACTCATCTGAATCTGTGTGTCACTCTGGCTCCACAACCAGCTTCCTCTGTTCTGATATACGCTGATAACTCAGGGCCAGGGGTTT